CTCTTTCCCCCCGCGTGTCCCCCCCTCCCCGTCCCCGGCGGCCCGGGCAGGGTGCGCGGCCGCGGAGGCGGGAGCATCCCGACATGGGACAGCGCTGCCCGTCACGGCGCCGCGCCGCCGTCGCCACAGAAACTTTTGTCCCGGCGGCCAATCAGGGCGCGGGGGGGGCGCGGAGCGGCGCTGGGCCCGGCCCGGTGCGCCGCCGCCGCCGCCAGCCCGCCGCGGAGCGCAGCGCGGAGCGGAGCGCCTGAGCCCAGCCCAGCCCAGCCGAGCCGAGCGGCGGCCCCGGCGCATCCCCAGCCGTGCGCGGGCCGGCCGCGCTCCCCGGCCGCGGAGGTGCCGCACGGCTGCGGGCGGGGGCGCGGAGCCGGGCACTGGATGGCGGAGGCGCGGGCGGGCGCGGCCGCGGAGAGGCGACGAGAGGAAGCGCCACGGCGGAGCTTTCCCCCCCGAACGGAGGGGGTGTCCTGCTTGACGCGGCGGGGGAGACCGGGGAGAGCGCGGAGATCTCCGGCGTGAACTGAAACTGTGGCAAAGGGAGGGGAAAAAAAAAAAATCAGGATTGCTTTTTTTTTTCTTCCTTCTTCCCCCTTTAAAAAAAGGGGGGTTTTGCTCAGCATCCGCACGCAAACTTACTTGAATGCCTTGTAGCCAGTTTAGCCCAGAGACCAAAGGATACCCCGCACCCGAGGAGTCCTACATGTGTGAGCACCATCATTACACTGGCAGAGCAACGAGAGCCGCCTCCTTTCCTGTACCAACATCCTCCTGGGACTGATCTCTCCTTTGGTCCAATATCTGAGCCTATCTTGTATATATCTGGCCTTTTCTTTCTTTCCTTTTTTTTTTTTTTTTTTTCCTTGTCCCCTCCATCGGCTGGGATTGCTAAGTAAATAAATAGAGGAAAATTCCTAAAAGGGCATATTAAAATTCAGTGGGACTCAATATGAGGAAGTGAATGGTCACAGACCATTTTTTTAATTAAAAAATATGTACTTTAAACGCGGATCGGATGCATTAGGCTTAGAAAATAGCAGGTAAGAACTTTCTTTCCAGTACCTTCATGCCCGGAGCGGGGATATCTGATGCAAAGCCGCCCAGCCTTGGAATAAAGGGGGAGCAAAGAGACCAGTGTGCCCTTCAGTGCTTCCTCCATCCTGCGCGGCGCGGCGGCTTTGGGAAGAGGCACAGCCCGCCAGGACAGAGACAGAAAACCCAGAAAGCCTTCGGAGAAGACAGCCGAGGGCTGCCGGGGTGGAGGAGGGTGGGCTTTTCCTCTTCTTTCCCCCCCCTTTTTTTTCTTTTTTCTTTTCTTCACCTGCACTATCCAGGGTGAATCCGGGTGCAGTTGATGTATGGAAAAGAAGAAGGATCCGAGTCAATATTTTCTTTTCGCTAAGCCGAGGGATAGGATTTTAATTATTTATCCAACCGAACCCTCTCCGGGTAAGACGCTGCTGGAGCCAGTGGGATAGTCCTACCTTGCACAATTATTAAAGAGACTGATCACGTACAGTGGAAGGATAAGAGGAGCCTCCACCAGACCCGTTTTGCCTCCTGTGAAAAAAAAAATGAAGGAGAACATTGCCACACTATTGAATTGATTGCTGCCCCCCATCCCCCTCCCGGCCCCCCACCCCCCCGAACAACCACCACCACAACAACAACAAAAAAAAAAAAAGAAAAAAAAAAAGAAAAAAAAATCCGCTGGGATCTGCCTGCACCGGGACCTCCTTCGCTCCGGCTCGGAGGTGGATGCATTTTTCATGAGCGCTGGGTGAACAGGTGCAAAGTGCGGCGGGGCGGCCCGGCCCCGCACCCCGGCCCGTTTCGTGTGCGTGTCCGTGTGTCTGTCCGTGTGTGTGCGTGTGTGTGCGCCCCGGCGTGTGCATGTGTGCGTGTGTGTACTAGGAGATTATGGAGAGCAGCGACCGGGACATGTACCGCCAGTTTCAAGACTGGTGTCTCAGGACTTACGGGGACTCTGGAAAAACCAAGACGGTGACCCGTAAAAAATACGACCGGATCGTCCAGCTCCTGAACGGCTCCGAGTCGAGCTCCACGGATAATGCCAAATTCAAATTCTGGGTCAAATCTAAAGGCTTCCAGCTCGGCAACTCGGACGAGGTCAGTGGTGGTGCTGGAGGAGGGAAGCAAGTGCTGTACGTGCCAGTCAAAACCACGGTTAGTAGAGAATTGTCTTCCTTGTTCTATGTCGGCCGCTGCAGCCCGCTCCGGGAGCGAGAGGCGCAGGGGGAGCCACAGCCACAGTTGGCTCCTTCCTCCCTCTTCCCCCAAGTCATCATCACCATGTTGCGTTTGCCTGTCACATTATACACCGCCGAGGTCTTTGTGGGTCCTTTCATTTAAAGCGATCGCGCGCACAACGCACCCCACCGGGTCGGTGTCGTTCTTCCCTTCGTCCTCCTCATCCTCCTTGTCCCCCCCGTTCCCCCGGGCCGCCGCGGCGCGGTTTGGGTGGGCTATTGTCCCGCCGCCGCCGCCGCTCCGGCCATTGTGCCGGGCCCTGCCGCCCCGGGCAGCGGCCCCCGCCGCCGGCGGGGCTGATGGATGGCGCACGGGGGTACCCTGCCTGGCACAAAGCCAGGCGCGGCGCCGGGCGGTGGTTCCCCGGGATATCGGTTGGGGGTTATAATTTATTTATTTATTTATTTTTATTTATTTATTTTTTTTTTTTATTGTTAGCCTGCAGCCCCGGAGCCGCCGCCGAGCGGCCACGAATGTGCCCAGCTTGGCTGTGAAGGGCCGGCTGCGCTCGTTAAGGGGCGGCGGGGGAGAGAGAGGATGCTCAACAAAGGGAGAACGGGGTTCCGCATGACCGAGGGAAGGGTGCATTTTGTGACTCTTTTTGGGGTCGCGGGAGCCCCTCAGCACTCCGTTCAATGCGCTAGGGTAGCGTGGCATCCCCGGCAGGCGCTGGCGCCGCGGACTCGGTGCAGGTCTGACAGCGGGAGAGCTATTATGCTTGGTGGTGGCAGGAGCGACAGATTTTCCTATTTAAGAAGATGGGGGCTGTTGGTTGCAAGTAGGTTTTGCCTATTGAACTCTCTTAATGTATCATTATTCTTACTTCTTATGTGCTGGGTCACGCAAACTAAGCTTCTTTTGTCTGTGCGTGGGGCGGGTGTGGAGGGGGAGCCGAGAAAGGAAACCCAGCAATTAAAAATATTTCTGCCTGGGCATTTGGCTTGGATGAGCAATATT